AATTCAGTCTTTTTTATTTTGGTACCGGTGATATTCACGTTTGGGGGATGACTTTTCAAATTAGTGTGCAAGTTTGATGTATTGCCAACCGCGTAACCAATTTTANGCACAATTTGACAGAACAATTATTTGGTGTGGACGATGCGAGCAGTGACGATGAATCTGAACGATCTCTGCCGCCTTTTACACCAGAAATAAGAGGCCTAGAACCGTATAGGTTCGAGCCAGCAAAACGCGAATGTGCACCACCGGCCTTCTCTTTCGGGAACAAATGAACGGTAAAACCATCCCAATTGGTGTTGCTACACCCGCCAACGACACACCTCTTCACCATGATCCTTAAAGCTTCGGGAAATCCGGGAAAAAACAAGACAAACTCGGAGATAAACACTGATACACAAAGTTGACATGCGGCTATACCAGCAATGCTACACTGTGTGATGCTCGGACGGGCTGAACTCACCAGGATTCGCGGAACCACACGTGACGTCACGACACAGCACCAAGCAGCGGCAAGTTTGAATCCAGACTTTTCTGGATACCTCTGAATTTGACCCATTTTCCCGATATTAACAAGTGATTTACAGCAAATAGGAAACGATATTCGATCTATATCACGTGTTACTGGAATAAGACCCAACAAGTTAATGCATTTTGAAACAGTTCTATGATCTTTCAGCTACAGTAAATTACGCAAGATAAGGACTTTAACTTATTTCATCAAATGTGTGTATAGTTGCTATGGTTACCTGTAAAAGTCTTCATAAAAACGTCCATCGTGATCCTGCCTGATGGAACCTCTCAGGATCTCAGGAAACTCCTCTGAGGGAAATTACATTTGTATTAATGATAAATGTTTCAATAACTCACTGTGCTCGACAACCAGTATTGGAAGTACTAGTTGTGTACTTACTTACAATACTAAGATACTTAATCATTTTTACTTGGGTATTTCCGTTAATCTCATTCATACTTCTACTCTACTGCAATTTGAAAGCTTATATTGTACTCTTCACTTCTCTACTTTTATGTCAAAATATTAGGTACTGTTAATAAATATTAAATACAGTACGATAAGTATAAACCTATTGAATTATGGTCACTATTATGGATTTAAAGTAAGCTCCACCAACAGTATACCAGCTACAAAATTCAATGGATTACTAACTATGATTCAGTTATATAATAAATAGTTATATACTATAGATGTTATATAAATATATAATATAGATAAATAAATTATTCTGAACATTTCCGTTCTGCATCAGTGCTTTTAGTTTTGGTACTTTAAAGGTCCCATGTCATGGCCATTTCTACTGATCATAATTCCATTGTTGAGGTCTACTAGAATAGATTTACATTGTTCAATGTTCCAAACTCACATTGGTTTCTCATACAGCATCTCTGTATAGTATGTGTATTCACTCTCTGTCCTAGACGCCTTGTTGGAGCTCCTGCCCCGGGGGCGGGGCAGGAGCTCCAACAAGGCGTCTAGGACAGAGAGTGAATACACATACTATACAGAGATGCTGTATGAGAAACCAATGTGAGTTTGGAACATTGAACNTATATATATCTAATATATTCATATATATATATGTATGTACAGTATGTTGTGAAGTGAACTGAATACTCACAAGACATAGACAACGAGTAGACTCGGAGGACATATAAAGGGAGGAAAGAAGAAGTGGAAGAAGATAGGGTCCACACTTTAGGAGAGAAAAGAGAGTAGAAAATCTCGCGGTGAGACTTAGAGGGAATGTGGAGAGACGAAGTCAAGACGAGAGGACGTTGTTACCCAACTCAGTAAATCAGTGCATTCTACCAGGACTACAGTGATATAAAGAATCTTCTCCGACAAATAAGGTTACTTTAATAAATAATAATAAAAACGAAGGCTTATATTACTATACAAGGAATTTGTACAATATTTGTCCTGTATACTAAAGTATCATTTTTTATGTATGGGGAATAAATCGGTACCGCAAAGTAAAAAAAGGTATGGCAGTATGGAACGACTGGAGTATGGCACCATATGCCATATACTGCCATAGGTCAGGGTTAAATCCCCAGTAAAAAGAGGGTTTTTTTTTACAAAATGGAGTGATATAGTTGTCGGGTGGTTTTTATAAAAGGTGGCGCGGTGACTGGCCATACTGAACCCAAGCTGAACTCCAAACTTCCCACCGCAAGCCGCCGTTTATCTACAATAGCTTTGCCATATAAATACAAGCCAACCATTTTACGTTCGGGCTCCCGATCCTGCGAGCGTTCACGGCGCTGCAGCGCGGTTCCCGAACGTATGTACTTGTGTAACACGTTTACCGGTGTAAAACTCTAAAACCTAATGTCCTGCGCAAACATCTACCCAGGCTGCAACAAAGGTATCACCCGATTCAATTGTTATATAGTAATATGTATTTGTAAAGGCTCATTTATGACACTGAATAACTTATTTCAAACATATAAGTGATTTATCAAACCGTTATATAAGGCACGTACACTTTTTGGAATAAAGGTAAACTAAGTAACCTATGAGCGACACCTTACAAATCGTGCATTTACGAAGCAAAATTTTGCAGGCTGGGAGGCCTGATGTTGTTGGTAGTTTTGGTTCAACGTAATCCTAATTTTTTTACAGTGGTGAGTGAGTGGGGCAGAATTGTAAAAGGGGTTTTCTTCACGAGAGACAGAGAGCAACACGACCCACTTTCAATGACCGTGCTCATTTTGGGTTTTATCAGTTGTCCGCGTCTCGTAAAAGAAAAAATGATCAAAGGCCTCAAGGGCCACGGCCGTTTACGACGGCGGTAGAACCGAGTCGGAGTCGAGACAACGCTTCGAAGACTCTCGGCCCTTTTCTCCTGACCGGGAGGGGACGGGAGGACGACCGCGCCACGACGACCGAATGTTGGTACAGCAGGGACAGTGAGGCAACCAGTCAATTATCTTACTTTGTGCGTAGACACTAACTGCGTGTCAGACACTGCAGTGCCATAAACTTTGTAGTATGGCTGCCATAAGCTTATGGGACCATATGGCATTATGGCAGTTATGGCGTTCGGGATGGCAGAATATTGTAAAACAAAAAACCATACGGCCCGTGGGTATATATATATACATACACACTAGGGCTGCTCAATTAAATCGTATTTTAATCGCAATAACGATTTTGGCTTGCAACGATTACGAAAACAACGTAATCGAAATAAAACTATAATTATTATTATTTTTATGTTTTTATTATTGTTTTTTCAGTTGAATTACACTTAAAGTTCAGGGTAATCCACTGTTAAAAACATACTGTTCTCTTTTTTTTCAATAAATTGATGTTTTCAAAGTAAATGGATAATTGTTTTTAATAATCGTGATATCAATTATTGATATTATTATTTTTTGCCATCATCGAGCAGCCCTAATATATAAATTAAAGATAAAGAAGAAACTATTGAAATATGTACAGCACAGTGACACACTATTTGAATATTAATTGACCTTTTTCCCAAGCGATCACACCATTTTAAAGAGCATTCATTTATGTATACAATTTGTAACAATTTACAATATGGATTAAGGTGTTGTTGCACAGTCATTCGCAATAGCAACAGAAAAAGACAATTAAATAGTAAATCTGATTAATTTGTATGACATTAATTGTCAACTTAAAGTCATTTACTGTGGCATCCCCAGTCTTGTCGGATGTTTAATCATCTTAAAGCTAAATAACAAGGTCTTGTTTTGATGCACTGGGTCTCTGCTGAAGCAAATAATTACCATGTGAGAAAAAGACTGCACAGCAAATATTTCTTTAACAAAGTCGACACACAACAAAGTCAGAGGTTAGAGAGGCATTTATGCACCGAGGAGCAAGCCCCATTATGTTTTCACAAATCAAAGCAGAAGTTGTCACTTACCACCATCTGCAAACAGCACTAAATATGCACAGCGGCATATTGCAAATAGCCATTAGGGAGTTCCATGTACATTCTTATCTGCTAAGTGCTGCCACCACTCGAGGTGAGCATAGGAGTGTACCTTTATGGTGTCCATTTTGTCTTTGTCTCTGCGAATACTGTTGATGAAGTCCTCCCTCCTCAGGCGCTGGCTCTCCAACATCTCTTTCACTTGTTTCTGTACAACAACATGTCAATTAAGTCAGAAACAAAAGAGAGGGACTGATCAGAGCATTATGGAACCCATATTCAACAGAGAATGTACTTTGTGTTGTTGTTGCACTTAACCGTCACTTTTTTAAAGATGTAGAA